GTATCTTAAAGGCCGGTGCTGCTGTTCATTCACTTAGCCTCGATTGATAATGCAGCGTTTGTCTCTAATCTGTCTGTGAGAGGAACCTCAGTGCATTTCTGTAAGGCAATTACATGACAATTTCCTTGAGGAAAGCCAATAGCTGACCGCTTATACCGAGCTGTTCAATTATGTAAGAATAGAGAGAGCTTTCCTCTCTGCTGCTCTTCTGCTCTGCGGGATTAGAAACACTCCATCTAGTTATTCTGGATTTGTAAAAGTGTGCAGTCTGGTTAAAAAACATGAACGTTGATCATCGAATTCAGGGCTGGTAGTTCACTGCAGTTAAAGCTTTTGTTTAGCTATTGCTTCCACATTTCATGACTTTTTGCCATTTTTGGGGGGGGAGGGGGGGGTCATTGTAATTAAAACCTATAAGATCAAATCCACACTCACTTGAGGCCACCAGAGATACATATGCAAATTCTTCCTGTCCTCATTTTGCAGCTAAATGTTTCAAATCCTTTTTGTTTCTTCATGTTCTAAAAAAGCATGACTGCACTACAATGCAATAACATCCAAGCTTCTCTCAAGACTAGGTTGCCCTAGCAACAAGCTACGTAGCAGTAGTCTGGGTGAGGGAGCTACCTCAGAGGAGGGGAGGATGCCTGAGACGGGAGGTGGAGACTTGTAGGGACATTTTTGCAAAACAATAATTCACAAATTGATTAAACATTTCTATTTTGCTTGGATAAATAACCAAAATTAGTATATTAATGTTGTGTAAGCAGTAGAGCCATGGTCATGTATTTAATAAATTATACTTGTCTTATATAATCTGGTCACATGGACCTAAACATTAGCTAATAAACATTTCATATATCACCCGAGTGCTTTACTGTGGTTCTGTCTGCACAGAGACAAAGAGCCTTGCGTGTATGCATGTATGTTTGGTCTTATCTCCTGTCAGCAGGGATGCTGGGACTCAGCCAGACAGTTGGCCTGCATTCACACATTCAGTACACACACAAACACACACCCTTCACTATCCACCTCCACAGGGTAGGGCACCATTTGAGCTGCTTAAACCAAAACTACTTGAAAAAAAAGTGTTGATTTTTGCCGAGCTCACACTCCGCTGCCGTATGAGCACTGAGACAACACTGGGTGTGTCCAATTCAAACTCCTCACTGGATTTGAAACTGAAAAATATGTCCGAGAATGTTAAACCAGAATCTTCAAATCGTGGTTTTAGTCAGTATATTTACGTAAGGTCTGGCACTTGTGCCAAAATTGTTGTAAAAATTGGGTTTCAGTCATTTTCTTCATACCAGACATAACAAAGAAATTCTGGCGTTGGTGTAGTGGCATGATGTGGGGTGAATGACAATTTAGTGAATGTCTCCATCTGCTGCACAGCCAAAGAAACTGCTGCATTATGTAACATAGTGGAGGGGTGAGAGTAAGTGCAAGTCTGGCCTTGTGCAGCCTTCGAGTGTTACCTGCATGCTCTTACCTTACACTTCAAAAAATATAAAAAATGGTTGGCATTATTTCAAGTGTCTTTAGGGACAGTGGCTGTAATCAGATGGACACGGCTATGTGGTGGTTAGCAGCATAAGAAAAGGTAGAAGAACATGCAATTTGAAAAAAGCCACTTCAAAAAAAACTTTGAGGTGTATTTGCTGGTTTGGGTTTGACTTTTTTTGTAGTCAGTCTTTAACTGTGTTTGCCAGTTGAGCGTGAACTGGGGCAGCTGTTGCTGTTCACTGTTGGTGCCTGAAGCTCACAGCCACCATGGATGCCTTTTGCATGTTGGATGTTGACAATCACAAACTTACCCTTTACATTTTTTGTTTGTTTTTGTTATGTAGCACTGATGCGCTCTGAAAATTTAATGGCAGTCAATGTGTCTATGACATTTCTAGATTAATAGACAACGTCCCCACTTTGAATGCAGTCTTTAAAAAAGAAAAAGCTCTCATTTCTGGTAACATTTCTATTGTTGTAAACTAAAGTCCCATATAAAACATTTTAAACAATGGTGAAACATTTGACCTACATTGATGTGATGTCTGTCAGAAAAAAAAAAAAGGTCACAGTCGTGTGTGTGCATTTGGGGGACTGGCAAAGGCAGCTAAGTGAAATTGAAGGGGTGAAAATGAGCTCTTTCAGTGTTATGATGGTTCATTCTCCATGTTTAGTATCTGTACCTCTGTACCATGATCATGTATTTTGAGCGTGTGTTGGGATGTGTAAACCGTTGTATGGATCACTTTCTTATATAAGTGATAGTATCTATATGAATATATAACGCTATGCCATCTGTTTAAATGAAAAGGTTGCTGGTTGTTTTACATTGATTTTTTATGTGTGTTTGCTCTGTGATCTCCCTGTAATGAAGTGAACAGAGCTGTGTTGGAAAAAAATGCAACGTCTGCCATTTCTGCTTTATAACAACAAAAGAATCAGGATAAATAGAAACATGGATGTTTGGTCATCCAGAGAGCTGCCACTGTCAGGCTCACACAAATACACCCACTCGTTCTTGTTCTTGACAATTTGCTGTCCTATTTTAACAATATTCTTTACTCTGTTAACATTTCATCAGGATTGTCAATGATGACACAGATGACACTCTCCCAACCTGTATCCTCTTTAATAATGTGGATGCAGATGTAGTTGTTATTCATAAGGGCAATGTAGGTGTGGTTATTCCCAAACCATCCCCAAGTGATGATGATGATGAAGACACTGAGGTGAGAATGAGGGTGTCCTTGGTGATTGTGAATTTATGGGTGATCCTCCTGTTTTTGAGGGACATGGCAGTGATGAAGTGCTGAGGATGGGTAGTGAGAGAAGTCATCTACACAGACTTTATAGATCTCCACATTCCAGAAGAAGAGTTACATCTAAGCCATTTTAAGGCAGGAAGGGATTATTTTAATGAGGACAAAAGTCTAGAACCATAACTTGATAAACAGAGATGAGTTTTTAAGGGTTTAAATATTGACTGAAGAGGGACCTTAAAACTGCCATATTTTGAAAGGATTTGCCCTCCTGGGCACATGACGATTCTTTCAATAGCTCTTAGCTGCATAAACTGGTGGACTGATGTTGCCCAGCTACGAGTGTAGGTAGGCAAAATGATATCATAATCATTCAAATATTGCCCTTATTTGCAGCATTCCGCCTTAAGCTCAAGAACCAGAACTGAGGGACTTGCATAGCAATGAAATTATTCAACACAGAGTGATATATGTAAAGCTTGTGGATTTAATATGGCAATTTTCACCACCAGATAGAATCAACATAAAGGATTCAATCCAGCTCAGTAAAATATATGCACCACTTAGGAGATCAGGACACTACAAAACACACCTCCAATTCATCAACCGCTAAAAAGCGTTGATTATACAGCTTCAGATAGTCCATGAACACTTTCTCGTTATATTAGTAGTAGTACAATCAAAAACAGAGGCTAGGCCGCAGAGCACACCAGGCTTTCCTTGTTGCATTTGTGAAACACATCCACATACAGACAAAGCCACCAGCAACACATCTTCAAAAAGAGACAATTACAGAACATCATTTCTTTGTGATTACAGTCTGGTTATCACAGAGGCAGCATGTATGACACACAGGAGTTATACTACAACACAGTATAGAAACAGTAGCATTGAGTGAATAGTGGACAAAGTGTGGCTCTCTATCCTGCATCCTATCCACAGCTCTGCTTATGTGTCGATGAGTGCGAACAGACTTTTCTCCGTGCGGAGAAGCAGAAGGCAAACATGCTGCCGTTTTCAGCACTCAAAACACACTGTGGCTGTGGTGGTGTTGCTTGATGCTTGCTCTCGTGCCCAGGCAGCAGGCATATGCTGCTATCACTGCAAAAGAAAAAGAAAGCTTGAAGTTTACACAAAACGGAGCATTTCTCCAGACACATTGATGGTCCTTTTTTTTCTTTCATCTACAGTCCAAGCAGTGAAGGTGATACCCTCTATTTAAACCGAGGAAATGCCAGCAGCTCAAAATGAGTAGAAAACAGTACTTCACAGAGAAGACGACACGTTTTCAGTTGTAAACTGCCATCAGGCACATTTTCAGAAGTTTGGAAAATAAAGAGTTGTAAAAGCAGCCTTAGGCAAAAACATATGGAAATCTTTTCTCAGTATCCTAATGAAGCAGTGTGTACATTGTTGGCAGTGGAACACTATTCTCAAAGGGAATGTCTCAAGATATGGATTGCACATTGCATGGATTCCATGTTATCACATTGCACCATATGCATACCTAAAAAAAAAAAAGTAAATGGAATCCCTGGTTGTTGTTGTTTGGACCAAAACAGTCTGATGAGGGGTAAAAACTGTACATTTGCAGTGTAGATATACTGCACAAGTTAAAAACATACAGTAGATCACACACATTTAGTGTGAAAGCCTACATGAACCAGATAACACAAGAGTTCCCTTTTTTTTAAATCATGTACCAGTTTACACTGAACTGGATAAAAAGCTTTAAGCCACTACAGGCTGCTGTCTAACTCCCACTACTGTCAGTGCAACACAACACACACCACTACAAACCAAAACTCAGAAGGAGATACATGGAGATGGGACAATACAGTTTGACTTACAAGTTCCTGTTTTCTTTAGTTTTAAATAAATCATACAAAAATAGTAGCATACAGTATACAATCTGTCATGGTCCTGTTAATTCTCAGTGTAGTATCCACGGTGGCGTATAAATCACCTGTATACACACACACACACACACACATACTCAGCGGGCCTGAATTAAGTGAGACCCTCATTAGATAGTTCTGAGTTCCCAACAATCCTGAGCTTGTGGCTCCATTCTTCTGGGAGTTGGTCCCTCCGTAGCACAGCTACCTCGCAAACAGAGTGACTCGCCACAGGTCATCACTCATTCTCCCAAAGGTCACCCTCTGATCTCATTCTTCATCCCTTCTCTCAGGTTATCTCTGCAGGTCTCCAAGGAGGTAAATAAACAAGTCCCTATGATCCTTCTTTGCCCTCAGAACTCTCCGGCGACACTGGGGGCTCCTCTCCTGTAGGGGACTGGGCACCGCCTGGACCATCTGCACACAGACCAGAAACATTACGTTCAGGAAACGTTTACTTTCCACAGTTACTGTGGATCAATACTGGTGACATATCTGCTATTTTGTAACGTTCAAGTCATTTTCACTTTATGTGAAACAGGACAATAGCATTGCAGTAAAATTAAGGTCATGATCATGAATCTGGAGCAACAGAAGGAAATGGCATCCAGAACTCTAAACAAGTTGCACCATGGTGACTTTACTTAGTTCTTGTACACATACAATGTAATGAAACACTGTATCTGACAAGACGGACCTAGACTTCAGGGAGACAGAGAAGATATGCCTCCTCAATATTTAGAACAACTGCCCCATTACAGGAATCCATGAAGGCACAATTTGGTCCATAAAAACTCACTAGAATAGAGAAAATGAATGATCTAACGCTCAAAATGTCCTGGAGGAGGAACCCCACACCTTCCACCTAATGTGGGGGTACATCCATGACTGACAATTCAGCTGTTAAATATTCATAAGACAGTCTGTGAGTCAACATTTTGAGTATGTTGTGAGCAAAGCCAGATTTGTATCGAGTACATTTTTGGGGGCTGTGGAATAAATTTCATCACCATGCTAGATTTAGCAGCAAGTTAATTTGTTTCTTACCTGTGCGGCCAAAAATTGCTCAGTGGCTTGAATTTGGCAAGCCTGGTAGCTACAATCCTCACAGAGTCGTGATGAATTAATCTGAATGGTTCTGGCATGGAATGTTTCTGGACTGTGGGAGGAAGCCGGAGAACCCGGAGAGAACCCACGCTGCACGGGGAGAACATGGAAACTCCACGCAGGAAGATCCCGGGTGTCCTCACCGGGATGCGAACTGGGAATCTTCTAGCTACGAGCAAATAATGCGAACCACCGAGTCACCTTGCGGCCCATGGAATGGCCAGTTACAGCCATTTCCCTAGTGGCAATCCCAGCCCACAGCTTGCTGTCTGCTTCAAACTGAAGCTGATTCTCAGGCCAAGCCAACCTCCTCTGAGTTCACCCCTAAATTTTTGCCATATCTGGCAGCCAAAAATTGACCAGAGCTAAGCCCCAGGATACCAAATATCACAGCCAATTTATCAGATGGCCCTAGGTGTGAGCCCTCGGTTAGAGTTGAACTTGAAATAAAGTCTGCTCATGTTGGATTTACACTCCCAACAACCAGATAAGGCCTTTCACATATTTCGAATGGAGCAAAAGAACAGGAGGAAACTTCCACTATAATGATTTGAATATATGAGTGGACTACAGTTTGCCGTGTGCTCAGAGATGTGTGGTTTACCTTTGAGGGACAGCTCAGCCAGCTTCAGAGGGAGATCACCGGGGTTTACACCTGCTGGAGAGCCCAGGATGTCAGGCAGGGCATTTCTCCTCCCCGAGCGCCCTGAGGAGGCAAAGTCCAACACTGGTTCCACTTCTGTCATCTCAAGACCCCTTCAAGACAAGCACACAGAACACAATGTGGGAATTTGAATGAAAATGTTCTACAATAAGAAAGAGTACTCTGTTGTTAGCAGCTCTGCAACAGTGATCCTCAGCTTGTTACAATATGAATGCATGTAAAAGGCAGTGCTGTAATTTATCAATAACACAAATTCAATAATGTAATGGAAACATCATTGATTGGCTGTAGTTCAGGCTATCTGAATCCATGATATCAGCTGACTTATCATTAGCAGTCCAGCATTATTGCTTTGTGTGCTTAATTAATTGGGAAGCTAGCTATTGTTAGCAATTCTGTTAGGAAGGTATAAATCATGTTTGAAGCAACAACTAGGCAGCATAGTGTGATCACTCGATGTCCCTATAGCTTTCCAGATGTTGAAATCTCCTATGAAGCTTCGTATGTCTTTTTACAAAAAACCAAAAAACACCTGAACCACTGGTTGTCTCCAATATTTTCTAGCGTGATGCCTAAAAATGTGCATAAAAATACATTATAGAAACAATAGCCAACAGCAAAAGACACAAATGTGGTTAACAAGATAATAAAAACGCCAGGACCAGCCAATTTAAACATCATTCAAAAATATGACAGAAGTACAATGTCAAATGTAAAGAAATGGGATTAGCTTGTACTTTCTGTTGTATTGTTTTTGCTTGCACTTCTTGGCTTTACAGTTTGGTTAATATGACAAATGGACTTCTCTTGTTTTGTTTCTTTTAATTAGCTAGCTATTGGTGACTACTTTGTTATTAGGAAGACGCAGTCATATTGAATATTAGGATTTAGAATACCACAGTGGCACAAATGACAGTTGACTGAACATCTTCAACATGGCTTTCTTCTGTCCTCTTTGTGTGGAAGATAAAAACTCATTCATACTGAAGTGACAAACATGCAAGGAAACCTTAACACAACACTTCACTGTGTTCACTGCAAAATGTTGAAGCTATTCACAACGTTTGCTAAATTACCGCTGTCCTGTAGGACAGTAACTAAGTTCAACCCCAAGTACATTTTAAACTATGTAGTTAGCCTTTTACTCTTTCGGAAGCTGATGCTATCTTGGTAATGTGAATGATTTTTGAAAGGACTGATGTCATAGTCTGACTTATAGAAGCCCAACAGTGAACATTTATCTTGACGTTTGTCTGAAAACAAAATGTACCTAATCTGTTTAGAGATTGGAGCACTAAGAGAAAAGATTTACCATTGAAGCAGAGGATGTGTCTGTCTGGTCTCATGGCAACCAGCAGCTGGGGAGTCAGCTCCAGGCTACACTGGTGACAGGCAGAATTACATCCCTTGTCTCACACACTCGCACAAGCACACACACAAATACATCAAGTTGCTGTTGCTATGGCAACTATACAGAAAAAGCACCACTGGCAGGTAAACATTCAACTGGAATCCATTCTCTCACTATCTCACTTTCTCTTCCCAGTCTCCCTCTTTTGTTATGTTGCTTCTCTCTAAATAATCATTCCATCGAGCAAAATCCCATTTCCTATCGTTCTCTTTCAACAAAGGAAGGAGTTGATGTGAGTTGATGCGAACTTGCAATTATACACACATACACAATTGCACGCACACAATGCCCATCTTCAGAAAAAGGGTCACAGGTTGACCATCTGTTGGCCTCAAGCATTATTGTAGCTTAGCCAAAAAGCTCATATGAGCTTTAAATAATTCCATAAGATGAACATATTTCCTCCAACACTGTCACATAATCACATGTTGACAACAAAGACTGTGAGGAATGATTTGTAGGGCAGCGTAATGCTATCACAATGAAATGGCAGTCTGTGCATGACTTTGTTTGTTTCACTATATGTGGCATTTTGAATCTCAATATATAATTGTTAAACTAAATTATCATATTGTTATTTAACAGTACAAAAAAAACACCACAGAAATCCCATGTCCACCCTTCCCCTACAGCAACAATGGCTTTACTGCACAGTACAACCATGCAGTAAGATATGGACAAATAATGCAGCACTGACTAACTGGGGTCAAAATGCTGTTTCACAGTTACCATTACAATTATCCAAGCAGAGCTGGGGCCTGTACTACGAAGCAGGATTTGGGGTTAGTGAGGTAACTTCAGGCTAAATCCTGGGTTTTCGGTCCTAGCGTACCGGGGTACATCACCATGGTAACTGATGCTGAACGGCTAGCCTGCTCCGCAGCAGGTTCTGTTGGAGGTTGAGATCAGCGGGTATTTAAGCACCGCCCACTGAAAGTCAGTTCTCTCCCGTAAAACTTCAGAAGCAGCAGAAAACGAAGCAATCAAACAAAATGGCATCACCGGCATTAATAGAAGACCCGCTACACATCGGAGCGTAAACTGTGAGGGGATCACACACACACACACACACACACACACACACACACACACACACACACACACCAGTAAACTGACTTTAGCATTAAAGCTTGTATTTTAGGATATATTAATAAGCCACACCACTTTGAATTCTGTTTCTGTTTGTTCTTAATTTGTTCCCACCTCCTTTTTACACCACCAGGGTTGCAGCTGAAAGTAAAAAGTAAAAAGTAAAAAAAATGTCAGATATGCCACAAGTATATACATTAGGCAACAGATTAGTTAAAGGAATCCTCAGATTGTCTTATTGATATCTGATTGATTACCTGATACAATCAGTGATCATATTATATTTTATTATAAACTAATGAACGTATTCATTCACACAGTCAGCATTCCTTCCTGACTTTGGCCGCTGTAACGGTGCTGCTTTTTGCTCCTATCATGTTTTTATATTATTCTTCATATTTAGTAAAAAATTATATTCTGCTCCTCGGCGGTAAAGTGAGCCGCTCTGCAGCCAGACTTGTCCGTA